CGTTTAGTCGTGTCCGACTCTTCGTGACCCCATTGACCAGAGCACGCCAGGCACTCCTTCTTCCACTGCCTCCCGCAGTTTGGTCAAACTCATGCTGGTAGCTTCGAGAACACTGTCCAACCATCTTGTCCTCTGTCGTCCCCTTCTCCTTGTGCCCTCCATCTTTCCCAACATCAGGGTCTTTTCCAGGGAGTCTTCTCTGCTCATGAGGTGGCCAAAGTATTGGAGCCTCAGCTTCAGGATCTGTCCTTCCAGTGAGCACTCAGGGCTGATTTCCTTAAGAATGGATAGGTTTGATCTTCTTGCAGTCCATGTGACTCTCAAGAGTCTCCTCCAGCGCCATAATTCAAAAGCATCAATTATTCGGCGATCAGCCTTCTTTATGGTCCAGCTCTCACTTCCATACATCACTACTGGGAAAACCACTTATTCATACATACATACATTTGTTGTTTAGTCGTTTAGTCGTGTCCAGCTCTTCGTGACCCCATGAACCAGAGCATGCCAGGCACTCCTGTCTGTCTGTCTGTCTGTCTGTGCATACTGTGGATCCAGAATTGGCCTCCACAGTCACTTACGGACACATTGTTAAAACTGTGTTTATGGAAGACAATCTTACTATTGGTTAGATCTGGTCCTAACCAATGTTGATGACCTGGTTAGTGGGGTAGAAGTGGAAGAATCATTAGGCGCGAGTGATCATGCTCTTCTGAAGTTTACTATACAGCGGAAAGGAGCAGCCAAGCAAACTAGGACTCAATTTCTAGGCTTTAAGAAAGCCGACTTCATAAAACTTAGGGAAGTGCTGGGTGAGATCCCATGGACAGTAATACTAAAAGGAAAGGGAGTTCATGATGGCTGGGAGTTTGTTAAGAGGGAGATAGTAAAAGCACAACGTCAGGCAATACCAATGAGACGGAAACATGGAAGATGCCTAAAGAAGCCAGGGTGGCTATCTAAAGAACTTTTAACTGAGTTAAGATTTAAAAAGGATGTGTACAAAAAATGGAAAAGGGGGGAAACCACCAAGGAGGAATTCAAACAAATAGCCAGCACGTGTAGACACAAAGTCAGAAAAGCTAAAGCACAGAATGAACTCAGGCTTGCTAGAGAGGTTAAAAGCAACAAAAAAGGCTTTTATGGGTATGTTTGTAGCAAAAGGAAGAACAAAGAAACAGTGGGGTCACTCAGAGGAGAAGATGGTGAAATGCAAACAGGGGACACAGAAAGGGCTGAACTCCTCAATGCCTTCTTTGCCTCAGTCTTCTCCGATAAAGAAAACAATGCCCGACCTGAAGAATTTGGAGCAAATGATTCAGCAGAGGAAACACAGCCCAGAATAACTAAGGAGATAGTACAAGAATACTTGGCTAGTTTAGATGTATTCAAGTCTCCAGGGCCAGATGAACTGCATCCAAGAGTATTAAAAGAACTGGCAGATGTGATCTCAGAACCACTGGCAGTCATCTTTGAGAATTCCTGGAGAACAGGCAAAGTCCCGGCAGACTGGAGGAGGGCAAATGTTGTCCCTATTTTCAAAAAGGGGAAAAGAGAGGACCCAAATAATTACCGCCCAGTCAGTCTGACATCAATACCAGGGAAGATTCTGGAGCAGATCATTAAGCAAACAGTCTGTGAGCACCTAGAAAGGAATGCTGTGATCACCAATAGTCAGCATGGATTTCTGAAAAATAAGTCATGTCAGACTAACCTGATCTTGTTTTTGACAGAATTACAAGCCTGGTAGATGAAGGGAACGCAGTGGATGTAGCCTACCTTGATTTCAGCAAGGCATTTGACAAGGTGCCCCATGATATTCTTGTAAAGAAGCTGGTAAAATGCGGTCTTGACTATGCTACCACTCAGTGGATTTGTAACTGGCTGACTGACCAAACCCAAAGGGTGCTCATCAATGGTTCCTCTTCATCCTGGAGAAGAGTGACTAGTGGGGTGCCACAGGGTTCTGTCTTGGGCCCGGTCTTATTCAACATCTTTATCAACGACTTGGATGATGGACTCAAGGGCATCCTGATCAAATTTGCAGATGACACCAAACTGGGAGGGGTGGCTAACACCCCAGAGGACAGGATCACACTTCAAAATGACCTTGACAGATTAGAGAACTGGGCAAAAACAAACAAGATGAATTTTAACAGGGAGAAATGTAAAGTATTGCACTTGGGCAAAAAAAATGAGAGGCACAAATACAAGATGGGTGACACCTGGCTTGAGAGCAGTACATGTGAAAAGGATCTAGGAGTCTTGGTTGACCACAAACTTGACATGAGCCAACAGTGTGACGCGGCAGCTAAAAAGCCAATGCAATTCTGGGCTGCATCAATAGGAGTATAGCATCTAGATCAAGGGAAGTAATAGTGCCACTGTATTCTGCTCTGGTCAGACCTCACCTGGAGTACTGTGTCCAGTTCTGGGCACCACAGTTCAAGAAGGACACTGACAAACTGGAACGTGTCCAGAGGAGGGCAACCAAAATGGTCAAAGGCCTGGAAACGATGCCTTATGAGGAACGGCTAAGGGAGCTGGGCATGTTTAGCCTGGAGAAGAGGAGGTTAAGGGGTGATATGATAGCCATGTTCAAATATATAAAAGGATGTCACATAGAGGAGGGAGAAAGGTTGTTTTCTGCTGCTCCAGAGAAGCGGACACGGAGCAATGGATCCAAACTACAAGAAAGAAGATTCCACCTAAACATTAGGAAGAACTTCCTGACAGTAAGAGCTGTTTGACAGTGGAATTTGCTGCCAAGGAGTGTGGTGGAGTCTCCTTCTTTGGAGGTCTTTAAGCAGAGGCTTGACAACCATATGTCAGGAGTGCTCTGATGGTGTTTCCTGCTTGGCAGGGGGTTGGACTCGATGGCCCTTGTGGTCTCTTCCAACTCTATGATTCTATGATTCTATGGCTACGAGTGATCGCCAAAGAGAAGAGAAAGAGATACACACTTACTTTACTGAAAGTTTAAAAGTACATAAATATGTGCACTAAGCATGGTGAGACCTAAATAAAAGAGAGAAAAAGAAAAACAGAAACAGCACTCATGAAGAAGGGAAAGTAAAGGGAGGAGGGGGGAGAACCCCAAAACTGTATACTTTACAATGTTGTTATTGTACTTCACCAGATCTCAATCTATTACAGTATTTGAAAGAATGGATTCCAAACATCATTGATTTTGTCTATGGCACGTCTGCATTTATATGTAAGTTGTTCATATGTTGTAAGTTTGCATAAGTCTTCAATCCAATCGTAGAAGGGAGCTGCGTTTTTATTTTTCCAATTCATCATTATCAGTCTTTTTGCTGTGGTAAGGGCACAGAGAGTCTGCTCATATTGTCCTTTTGTAGGGTTCCATGTGCTGGGCATATAATTCAAGAGGATATTTTCCTCTGTAAATGTAAGGTTGTTGCATACAGTTCTGTTGATGATTTCAGTTACCTTCAGCCAAAAATCTTTCAATATAGGACCCTGAAAAAGCATATGTTCTAGAGAAGTATTATCCCTATTGCATCTCCAACAGTTAAGATACCTTAGATAGCCCTTTTTTAAAACAAACGTAATGAGGTCCAGTATATTCTAAATATTATTTTTGTTGTTGTATAAATCTCAATTTAAGGTCCAGAGACACCCTTGTTATAGCACTTAAAACAGTTCCCACTGTGTGGTTGAAACTGAGACCTCTAATTCTTTATTCCATTCCTCCTTCAATATCTGTATATCAAATTGGTTTGCTAGTAACCAAGATTTATATATGTTGATGGCCAGTTTTTTTGTTGCGTAAGAATTAATCTTTTTCCAATTTAAATATACTTCTCCAAATTTCCACATCTGTTGGCATTTTTTTAAAACGTCCTCATGAAAATTCACCAGCATTTTAATGAGAATTTATCCTAATAAGACTTGTTTTTGCGTGCAATTTTGCCTAATACTGTATACACATTCTTGCAAAGCGATTTCCCTGAATACAATGGATTTTTAAAAGTTATTTTCTCTAATACATGCCTTTGTATGCTCATTTTACCCTAGTATATGCATTTTTTCACACTTTACTTGGCAATCCTCTGGTGAATGGAAGATGTGTTCTGCTGGCTAAAGCGCAACTTTGGATTCAACCCATAATATTTTCTACAGTCAGCACCACCCAGCTTACTTCTAAAGCTATCAATATTACAAGAGACAAGCATGACCTGGGATGAAAATGTATCGACCATTCAGGCTTCGCATATCATGAAAAAGTTCCTGTGGAAATAAATCCATTTTTGATGTTAAGTTCATCCCTCACTCCTTTGATTTCATAATCATGTTTCCTCTTAGGACCATGGGTGAACAAGGTTAGAATTCTCCCATTAGGGTCCTGTCCCATCTGAGGGCTATGTACGGTATATCTACGTGCACAGTCATTTCCCTTCCATATTATTCAGCTATTTATATACAGCTTAATTACCAATGATTCTGTGCTATGGTTTTCCTTGGTGAAGACCAATGGATCTTCATGAGTCAAAAACCTCCGTTTCCTGCATTCCTAGCTTCTTCCTCCATCCTCAAGTAAGGAGATATCCACATAGAATGCATTCTAGGATCCCTGATTAAGACAGGCAGCCTTCAGATCTTCAAACAGAGGACTCAGTACAAAATTCAACTACACACCTCTCATAATATTTGCACGCATAATTTTGACTCAAACCTTTTATAACTTTTGGGGTAAGGTATTAAGAAGGTTATCACTTCAGTTATAAGACAGGTGGTGATTTATGGACCTATCTCCTGTAGGGAAACTAAAGATTAAAACTGTAGCTGATTTGTGATTAGTGGTTTCCAGAAACAACAATTCTGAGGAACGTAGACTGAAGAAAAGCTGAAGGTGTTCATAGAATTTACCTGTTGCCAAAGTGGGTGAAGGGCAGAAAGACAGTAGGCTGCTTTATGCTGTGTCAGACCACTGGCCCATATAACTCAGTGCTGTCTTCACTGACTAGCAGCTGCTCCCTGGGAGATGCCAAGGATTGAACCTGGGACCTTCTTCATGCAAGGCAGATGCTGTATCACTGAGCTACAGTCCTCCAGCCAGCATGGTGTGGTGGTTAAGAGTGGTGGACTCGTAATCTGGTGAACCGGGTTCACTTCCCCGCTCCTCCACATGCAGCTGCTGGGTGACCTTGGACTAGTCACACTTCTCTGAAGTCTCTCAGCCCCACTCACCTCACAGAGTGTTGTGGGGGAGGAAGGGAAAGGAGATTGTTAGCTGCTTTGAGACTCCTTAGGGTAGTGATAAAGCAGGATATCAAATCCAAACTCTTCTTCTTTCTCCTCTTCCAGCAGAGACAAGCTACTGGGTCTATCACAAAAGTTCTGATTTTTATATTGTTAATGAGGAAACTGAAAATCCCAGAGCTGAGGTTTCTTTCAAAGTTGTAACTAGCTATGCAGCTAACAGATCTGCAGCCAAAGAGCCTCACAACTAGTTCAGTCTGCCCAATGAAGTATTGAGTTCGTGGTTCTCAATCAGCAGCTCCCAGTGGCGCATGACAAACTTCTTTTGAAGCTTAATGGAGTTTCAAAAGCAGCCTGTGGAAATGAGTAAAGTCCAGCTGGCATACCCAAGCCCTTGGATGTGCCTAAAATAGCTCAAAGCATAATTTGGACTAGTGTGATTGGCCATTCAGAAGAAAGATTCAAAAACTTGATCTTAAGACTATTTACCTGGATATAGTTCCATCAAAATCAAGGAAACTTTCTTCCCAGTAAAGTCTTTTTTTTTTTTTAACGGTAGGAGTATAAAAGTCACATTTTATTCCAATGACCTATAAATGGGAAGTAATTTCTAATAAATGCCTGTGCATCCCATTACATTTTACTACTTATCACCTCTTCTGTGTCTTATGGACTAAGGGTATAAACGGCTTTAGCAAAATGTGATGGGGTACAAAGTTGTACATCAGTAACTGGCACACCTATTCCATGGAAGGCAATTTTCTGGGCCACAAAATTTGCAGGCATCAGTCAATAATTAGTATTCTTGGGTCATGGGGATGAGGAACATGTGAATGACAGCAAAATCTGCCATTGTATGCAGACATCTTGAATTATTAGAAGTGATCCTAAAGACATTTGAATCAAGTGAATGGTTGCAAAATATGATAGCAAGTGATGGCAAATTGCTTTGAGGGATGCTCAGGCCATCTTGCCTGATTTTCTTAGTTAATGGTCAATATTCTTGCCCAAGCTCATCTATTTTCTGCTTAACCTGACCTCTCCTTTCTCATTCTGCAGCTACTGGAGGATGTTGTCCAGGTTTGAGTGAAAGACGGGTGGAGTGAGAAGGGTGGAGACAAGGCTACCATCAACTGTGAAATTGGTCTACATTTTTCTGGAAGGACTGCCTACATGCAGTTGAACAGTTATGTCCTTGATTTTATTTATTAATTTATGATCCACCTTCTCAAGAAAACCTCTTGAAGTGACTTGCAAGATAGAAAAAACACAAGTCATCAATCACAATTGCACACACACACACACCTGCAATTCAAATGCTTACATAAAAAGGGATGACAAGAAGTTGAGTTTCTCAATAGATGATGACCAATTGGTCTATTGCTAACAGCTAAAATGCTGAAGCCACAATAAAATTTACTCAGTGATTGCTTATCTGTTGTTACTTTATGTCTGAATAAAGGTGGAAAGGGGAGTGATAAAACATGCTCAGGAAAAGTACCATGGGTTGTGGTCCAAGAAAGTTGGGTGTACCTCCTTTGACAAAATCTTTGCTGACTATGAAAAAGAGGCTGCTACTTTGTGATAATTATAGTTGTAGGTAACAATGCAAAGATGTAGTTCAAAAGTTATCCAATGAAATCCAATGCACACAGTTGTATTGCTCTGCATCTGTCACGTTTTGTATGGAATAATATATTTATTCAAATTCTTTTTAAAAAGTGGCAGAAAACAAACCTGTTAACATGCAGAATTTCAACAAAAGACAGAATTTAGATAGCTGGGGTTACCAAACTGTAGTCCATGAACCACCAGTGGTTTGTGACCGTCATCCAAGTGGTCCATGGCATGTCTCTGTGGAGATCAGTGGGAGCAACAACTATGAATGGCAGGTGCAGTGGCTGCTTCATCATTCTTGGAACCCAGTGGGTACAACCAGAAGGTGAGCAGGACAGAGTGGAGGTCACAGGGGGAGGAGGCACTTAAAATAAGTGAAGTGGATTAGCAGCGAAGTTAAGTGGAGGCTAGAATGAAGAAGTTTAATCTGGATTCAATTAATAATCATACACCTTGCACCACAGTGTGTTACAACTGATAAAACATGCAGAAAAATCACTTAAGAGGTCTGAGAAGATTCTCAGCGATGTTCAAGTGGTCTGTGGGCAAAACATTTTGTGAACCATTGGATTAGAGCACTTGCAAATATTTCAGGCACGTAGCAGAGGAAATGCAGCCAAAAGATAAGGTTACCATTTTTTTCAATGTATCCGGGGACACTTCAACTTCAATGGATTTTGTCAGGGGACTGATTTGTAAATCTGGGGACTGTCCCCAGGAAACGGAGACCTCTGGTAACCTTACTAAAAGAGGCGAGTCAGAATACCACAAAGTAGGTACACAAGACTCAACACTTCATTGAAATGCAGAAGATAGTCAGCAAAACACACTAACTGACTGACAGACAAGTGGAAAGTGATGTGGATTGTTATGCCTCCCAATGGCAAACTCACACAATAAGAATAATCTAATTTCCTTATATGAGAATGGGCAGAAGGTTGATCTGAATATACTGGTAGATTTCTATGTGATCTCCATTAGACTGACAAGAATTTCTGACTCCTGATTGTTTTTACAACAGCAACAAAAACATAGACACGTCTTCCTCCCAAATTACACTGCTAAAATTAAGGAAGCTTGGGGTAACCAGGAATGGATTTTTGTGTAGAAAGACTGCTTGCTGCATTCTGTTCTGATATTCAAAAATAAATTAATGGGCTCAGAATTCTTAATAGCAGAGTCCAGTTGGTGGATCTCAAGGTTTTCAATAAAAGGCAAAGTAGATCTTGCAAGCCTGAAGTCTGCCTACCTTTGCCTTAGATAATTATGACATCATAAAATTTACAAAATAAAACTACATTACCTACTTCTTTCCGGTTTAAAATGCAGTATTTATATAGCCTAGAATTCAAGATAGCTATTTCACTTGCCAAATGAAACAACTTTATTGAAGTGGAAATCTCACCCTCCAGCTATTTATTAATATAGTTTTAAAGGAATTCTCAGATTTTTGTTGGTAACTGCTCACTTAGGTTAAAATGCGATGCACTTGTTGGCTGTGCTGCCCCAGAGGGACTGCAGTAAGACAGACTTACTCAAGCTTCACTTGAACACAGAAATGAAAATCAATAAACAATTTGAACTTCTCAGAAGAGAATTTTTCTCCTCTAATGAATATACAAGCTTGGTTACAGCTTAATTTAAAGATTGAATTTAGTGTGTGTTTTTCCCTGCACTATAAGCATGACAAACACAAGCTCCAAGTGACATGTCCCAGAGGGGGACTTATTGTTAAAAAACAACAATAACTCGACAAACAAACAACCAATAAACAGAAACCCACCATAGCAGGGAAACTTAACAGCACAAAATGCATCTGTACTAGCAAAAAAAATGGTGTGGTCTGTGAACAAAGCCCAAACTGATGAACATCTTCATTTCAATCCTCTTTCTCAGCCTCTCTGGGTGAACAAAGACTTCTGAAGTTGTATCAGTATTGAGGCATTAGTCTCATTCACCATGTTTACCCAACCTCATCCTTTCCTTGGCCATTGTATGCTCCTTTTGCCATTTTATTATGCTATAAACCGCAAACGTAGATCTGTATCTGTAAATTTGTATCATCACATGCAGATCCAGTCCTTAGTAGGACTCAATCTCTCACAGAGAAATTATTTTAGAGCCTTTTTATTGATATAAATAATTTCACTTGTTATAGTTGATCACACAACTGGGCTTTATGTTTTGGTTTTTTTGCCAAGCACTGTATTTTTCGCTCTATAGAATGCACCGGACCATAGGAGGGGGAGAACATGAAAAAAAAATCTCCCCCTCTTTGTTCAGCGCCCCTTCAGCGAAGTGGCAGGAGAAATGGAGCCCCTTCCATTTCTCCTCCTGCTTCGCTGAAGGGGCGCTGCGCAGAGAGGGAAAACTGTGCAACATCTCTCCAGCGAAGCGAAGCCTGGAGAGCAAGAGGGATCAGTGTGCACTGACCCCTCTCGCTCTCCAGGCTTCAGGCAGCTATCCGCAAGCCTTCGGAGCTGCCCGAAGCCCCCGGAGTGCAGCGGGAGTTCCCACTGCGCTCCGGGGGCTTCAGGCAGCTTCAGCGAAAGCAACGCAAAGCCTCCGGAGTGCAGGGGGAGCTCTCCCTCTGTGCTTCGGAGGCTTCGCGTTGCTATTGCTGAAGCCAAGGAGCCTGCATTCACTCCATAAGACACACACACATTTCCCCTTAATTTTTGAAGGGGAAAAAGTGCATCTTATAGAGCGAAAAATAAGGTATTTCTTCTAGTCATCCTAACATGGAAAAAAGATTTCTCTATTTATCTTTGTGCTACTTAGGACCACAGTGACAAAAGTTCACAGCTAGCGATGGGGTAATAGCTCAGAATCTCATTTCTTATTCAAAAAATATTGTGATATAGGAGTCTGTCATATCCTGAGTCGGATCATCTGCTCATGTAGCTCTGTCTTCTCTACTGTGACAGGCACTGGCTCTCAGGGGTTCTAGGAAGGGTCTTTCCCAGCCCTACTTGGAGATACGCAGGATTGAGCCTTGGGCCATTTGCATGCAAGTCAGCAGCTCAAAGCTACTGGGCATATGGAAAGTTTACAACTTATTCTGTGACCGTTTGCTGTTGTTTAGTCGTTTAGTCATGTCCGACTCTTCGTGACCCCATGCACCAGAGCACACCAGGCACTCCTGTCTTCCACTGCCTCCCACAGTTTGGTCAAACTCATGCTGGTAGCTTCGAGAACACTGTCCAACCATCTCATCCTCTGTCGTCCCCTTCTCCTTGTGTCCTCCATCTTTCCCAACATAAGTGTCTTTTCCAGGGAGTCTTCTCTTCTCATGAGGTGGCCAAAGTATTGGAGCCTCAACTTCATGATCTGTCCTTCCAGTGAGCACTCAGGGCTGATTTCCTTAAGAATTGATATGTTTGATCTTCTTGCAGTCCATGGGACTCTCAAGAGTCTCCTCCAGCACCATAATTCAAAAGCATCAATTCTTTGGCGATCAGCCTTCTTGATGGTCCAGCTCTCACTTCCATACATCACTACTGGGAAAACCATGGCTTTAACTATACGGACCTTTGTTGGCATCTGTGACCGTTAGGTTGGCCTAATAAAATGTATTGTCCTAATGAGGAGTTACTCCTTCTCCTCATGCAGAGCCTCTTTTTCTGCAGGCACTGTGCACATGGCCCATAGACCCCTCTCCCTTCCCATCTACAGGTCCCCGGTTTCCATATAGCAGCCCGTGTGAAAGGCTGTGCAAGAGGCACTGCTGTGTCTACAACTATAGAAGAAAGTGTGTGAAGACTTTTTTATTTTATTTAAAATATTTATATACTTTTTATTTAAAATATCCAAAGCAGTGTACAATGTAAAATTGTAAGGCACTTGATGGATAATAACTCTAATAAAACCATAAATCAGTATCAAACTGCAATACATGTGCAATCCAGTCTGATAGTTCTATGGTCCACCTAGTCCAGTATCCTTTCTCATTGTGGCCAATTAGATAATAATAATAATAATAATAATAATAATAATAATAATAATACAGTAGTACCTCGAGTTACATATGCTTCAGGTTACATACGCTTCAGGTTACAGCCTCCGCTAACCCAGAAATATTACCTTGGGTTAAGAACTTTGCTTCAGGATGAGAACAGAAATCACGCAGCGGCAGCAGGAGGCCCCATTAGCTAAAGTGGTGCTTCAGGTTAAGAACAGTTTCAGGTTAAGAACAGACCTCCAGAACAAATTAAGTTCTTAACCCGAGGCACCACTGTAAAAGTTTATTATTTGTCACCCGCCCATCTGGCTGGGTTTCCCCAGTCACTCTGGGCGGCTTTCAACAAAGATTAAAAATACATTAAAATGTCACACATTTAAAAACTTCCCTTCTCATATATGCCTATGAGAAGCACGCAAACAGGACCTTAGAGCAACAGCACTCTCCCCTGCTGTTTCCAACAACTTCAGAAGCATATTGTCTCCAACAATGGAGGCAGAACACAGCAATCATGGTTAGACGCCACTGAAAGCCTTGTCCTCCACCGCATTTGTCCAATCTTCTTTTAAAGTTTTACAAGTTGGTGGTCACCACTGCCTCTTGTGAGAGCAAATTCCATAGTTTAACTTTTTCACTGTGTGAAAAAGCATGCCATCTGGACCAAGTGATTAATAGCAACAGCTGTCCAACAGCAACAGGGAGCATTCCTCAGTAAAAGCAAAAATATACAAGGTGGCCAAACCACACTCACTCTCATTTCACGTAAATCACATGGAAGGCACTTGCACCTTTTGCCCCATAGCTTTTTTTCTAGGAGGGCTAGAGACTTGCCTTAAAAAAAAAAAGAAAGCTTAAATCCGGGAGCACCAATGAAAGCCTTCGTGGGCCCCTGGCTGGTGATTTCTGATATGGTTTGAAGCAGTGCTTTTCTTCTAGGGAAAAATGGTGCTGGTACTACATACACTTGAGTACCTCCAGAAAAAGCACTTGTTTCAAGAAATTTTACCTGTATATCTCCCAGCTCTATTTGGAGATGTTGGGAGACCTGCTTCTTGGATCTGGTGCCTTGATTCCAACCACCTAGGAATGCCAAACTGTGCACTCGTTATTCCACTCACACTTAGCTTTCCTTGTGTAAAGTATTATCAAGTTCTCTGAAAACCTCTGGTTAAAGTGATAGCACAAATCATTCTTAGGCAGTGTACATGATACGAGATGACTCATTGTGCAGCCCAAGGTACTGGAACGGCGTCATTTTATGGCAGCCTTTTGTACTGGTAATGGAGATGATTCATATGTGGAAGCCTATTCCCACAGACTGGCTTCTTTAGATCTAGAAACAGTGTATTTTTGCCAAATTGGCAAAAATTAGAGGTAAGTATAATTGGAACTAGGGCAATATTGCTCCAAAGATATCTAAAACAACCAGGAACACATCTCTGATTGCAATAAAAACTCCTAAATGCTTCTATCTAGTGCATGGGTCGCCCCCCCCCCCCCCAGTTATAATCTCAACCTCACTCAAAGTGATTTCAAAAGCTTTTCATTTAAACTACTATTATTCTTTTGTCTACTGGGAGCCCAGTGCAAAGATGATGTCCTGTGTGCAAAAGGCAAGCAGGCTGAATAATAATTAATCAACCCTACTTAATATTCTGAAGAAGAGGAGCAACAATCAGTTGTGAACCTCTATGTATTAACCGGCAGATCATTGTTATTCCAGGAGGCATCATAAGGCCAAATGCAGGTTACAACTGGTTTAGAAAATCTCTTTAATTAAGATACATGAAAGTTTAAGTCTCCCATTATAAATATCTTATTGTGAATATAAAAGACATAATTAAATGGCATGGTGGTATGGCACTTTCATGTACTAAAAGGTGATGAAGCGAACTTGGGAACCATTCATCTATTTGGAAGGTGAATCCAGCAATGGAAATATTGTTTTAAAAGCATCTGCCACCTTGATAAAATAAAAATGTAGTTTAATAGGCTGTTTGGTGTGCTACTTAGTTAACGCTATTCGCCAAGAAGTAGCTAAGAAACAAACACAATAAAAATATTTTATGCATGCATAGTTAAGGCCTTAGGAAAAAAGGTTTAACCAATAATAATGATGCCACCTCTCTAATTTTCTACAAATCCCTCTCAAATCCTGCCTCTTTAATGAAGTCTCTTACACCACCTATGCCCTATGATCTCTATGCCCGATAGTAGGGTGGGGAACATTTTTTGGTATGAAGGCTACATTCCCATTTACCCAAACACCTGGTGGCTGCATGCTACTGACCAAGACAAAAGTGGCATGCCCAAAGTGGGTGTGGCTGCCACACACACACACACACACACACGTACGCCTCACACACATGCACACTCACATTCACAGCCACCCACTCTCCCCCACTCCAGGTAATTGCCAGAAGGGCTGCTTTTCCTAGAGAATGCAGTTAAGTGTTCTCTCCCCAGCTGCAATCTCAAGAAAGTCGCCCCGCCATCTACCCACTGCCACAACAATTAGACTTAGAAAAAGCCTTCTGTCTAAGTTAATAGGTCCCATCCAGCAACCTAATTGCAATAAGGGAGGGGTGGAGGAGAAGGGGGCACTGAGCGTCCAATACAGCCCATTCTGGTGGCTTCCCACTCCTGCATTTATGTGTAACTAGAAGAAATGCATAGGCTTGGAGCCGGGAAAATCTGTGACTTAGAGAGCTCTTTTTCACAGGTGGAATCTTCTTAGGGCTGAGATAAAGTACCATGCATTCTGGTAGTATATAACAATAATAGCAGAAGCAGTAATACTAAATTTAGTTATTTCTCCCAATTCATATCACATAATTCATATATCACTTACTCGACAGAATGCCTGTAATGCTATTTACATTGCAATTCAAGGCATGTCTACGCAGAGGTAGACCCCCAAAGCCTCCCATTGAATTCATTAGGACTTGCTCCTGAGTACTGTAAATGTGTATAGGATTGCAACATCAATAGCTATGGACAAAACAAATACTTTGGTCCCCTTAGAAATCAAACTGGAATCATTCATACAGTGCTTTAGAGGGTCACTTTCCTTTGGAGCAGAGAACACTGGACACACATGTCTTTATATGCTTGTTTACAGCTAGTAAATAAAGAGATAAAAGAAAGAAGAGGATAATGGCTTTCAAAATTAGCAAGGGGACCAAGGGGAAAAAAGCCAAATTCTTGCACTAATTTCCATGAGGCAATCTTACTCTTTTATTACTTTGCAAATTAATTTTAAATAAAATCTTTTCTGTGCACAATCACAACAATGTACCAACACCTAATAACTCCTGAATCTTTATATATATATATATATATATATATATATATATGCGCAGAAATTAGGCATAATGTGTAAAGAGAAATTTCAAGATGCGTTTAGGCTTTTCTTTTTCAATAATGCATACCACAAAGGGAATAAAGAAATTCTTTACCCAAATTAATGGCGAATTATTTTGTCATGAGAATAGGAGTTTATATTCATTTAAATGAAAGCACACAAATTGTTCTTGACAAGAAAAACAAAGCTAGCCTAGGGCAGTATTTTCATGATAGAGAAAGGCACATG